GGATGATGTGGCTTTCTCAAGTGAGAAATTGCACACTACAATTATTGAGGAAATGTGGTCTCACTCACCTTAAATAAGGGTTGGTTTTAAGTTTTATTTATTTATTTTTCTTTATTGGATTTGGAGGATGCTTGGGTTGCTTTACCAAGCCTTGTTCTTTGTTAGTTTCTGGACGGTGACAATGAATTACTGTTCATTTCTCATAAAAAGAAAAGGAAAAAATAAATATTTGAGATGGAAATTTTTCCCTTTGAGCACCACTCTCTCTCTTAATTTCCTTTTTTATTTGAAGTTTTAAAAAATTTGTTATGGAAAATAATAAAAACCCATTTTCAAGACTCATTAGTTTTTCTATTAAAAAAAGACAAAAAGAAGGAAAAATGATTTAATTTGAATAGAAGGAGAGTGTAAAAGACGCGCCAGCTTTGGGTTGGGGGGATGAAAAAGAAATGCGTTGCTTGAGCACAAAAAGACCAGTCGACGCATTTCTCGGATCTGTTGGATGGGTTTTATTTGTCCGTGGTTAGGCTATGTGTCTCTCTATATGCCTCACTCTATGTTTTGCCTTGCTCTCCTCAACGTCTTTCTCAAATCGCTTCAGCCTTCAGTTTTTTAGCCCTAAGCCAAAATCTAACAAATTGCTACTGTTTCTCTTCAGTTGGATACTAGCTGTTACTATTTTATAAGGCAGGCACAATTTCCTTTATAAAAACCCTAACTGGCTAAATGCACTGTTCTGATCCAAATATTGAAAATTATCTCTTTCAAACAGTATCAACATTAATTATATATGAAACTCAAACACAATCCTTACATTTTCTCAAATAATAAATTTTATTTTTTTATAAATTCGTTTATTTAGTTTCAATAATGTGAATTCTAAATCTTATATTGGATGGGTCTAGGGAACCACTATATAAGATTATGGTTAGATTTCTTTTCTTATCTACACAAAATATATTAAGTATGAAAGCTGTATTGAGTAATCGATTAGTAGCAAAACATGTTATCCATAAAACTCAAATATATGATTATATTACTTATGTTGAGACATAAATCCATAAATTAATTAACTTTAAAGATTAAATGAAAATACTTACTAAATAATGCAATTAGCAAAAATCAACCAATACTTAGAACTTCTTAAATCATGTTCAGTGTTCAATTCAATTCAAGCGTATACAATGTTTTAAATATTTGATATAGTAAATTTTTTAAAAAATTTTTAATTTAATTTAATTTAATAGAATAAAAAGACCCCAAGAACAAAATTTATGTCAATGTCAACTTAATTTGAAGTTAAGAAATGTTGTCCAAACCCAAGCTATACTGAGCTAGACTAATTAATTCATGTGTCACATATCTCACATTAATAAAAAACGAGATGAATTTTAAACTTGTAAGTAAAGATTTTTCTTTACCTAATAGACATATTTTTTGAATTAAAAATATACCTTCATAATTACTAGTACTAAAATTTACTAACTCTTTACTAAAATGACACCCTATATAAGATACATGAGGCTGGATGTCACGTATCCTTCTTAAATTTCAGCTCCAGGGTGATAATTACCATTAGATTTTGAACTTCAATCTTTCAAGACGAAATGGTACTTCTCTTGTATATTGTCGAGAGGTGTGTGCCCATATTGTTAACATAGTGCTTCACCCACAGTGGTACTTAATTAGTTAATTTTAATAATCTTAATTCATATATCAAAAAGTAAGATACCATAGTTCACACAAAAACTATGAATATATTACTTATAAGAGAAACAATTTTGGAGAAGTCTCAGATGGAGGGCATTAATCCCACAACATTAGGTATATATTGATTGAATTATGTTGATATATATACATATATATATATATA